GTTAAGTACTGAGANCCGGATTACATAGTATCCAAATAACAATCCTATGACTAGAAATATTTAAGAGTTAAGTACTGAGACGTATACGTCTCATTTTCTCAACACCTTGAGAAGCTATCGTCTTAACTTATATTCTATGGACTATATCATGTATATTAAAATAAAATAAAATAGAAGTATGATAGATAAACTTGCTCTTTTATTTAATTAAATAATTAATGTTGCTAGTACAACTCTAAAACATCATCTATATGATTGATCTTAGAACATACTACTAACAGTTAACATAAGATAAATTTGCCAAGGTACTTAAGTACGTCTGGACAAATTCTTCACATTTGATTGTTATATATATAAAAAAAAAAGTATGGTTGGATACAAGGATTTAGATACAGGACAATACACCTTTTTGAAATTATGTTTTTAATGCAAGAACACAAATATAAGTGTAACCCACCTTATTCCAATGGGTCCACTATCAATACCTTGTTGATGACCTAGCATTGAGAAAAATTGGGAAGAAAAAGAAAGAAAGAAAGATTTGTTAGAAAGAATTTTTTCACCTTGTTAGAAGGAATTCAAAATCCGTACAGTAAACACACCAAAAGGAAAGTTATTTTAGTTATTGATACCAAAGAATTAGGTTAATGTTTTTTGTTGAATTAAATAGGCCGGTGTTAAAATGTTCATCACAATATCCTGGGGATAAAATGCTAACTTGGAGGTGGTTTTCAACCGGTCCTAATTATGTCCCGTACCTCTTTCTCAGCCAAGCTTAGGTAGAATAGCAGAGTAAATAAAGTTACCAGTAGTATAAAAGAAAAATACATTTTTCGTTATTAATATATCTGTTCATCGCTATTGTGACCTCTCGAGAGAATCGATGGCTGCATCTTTGATACATTGCTAGTACTAGTACATCTAAAAATTCTTAATTGGCTAGTTGTAAATAGTCTCAGCCTATGGGACAAAGGATTATCTTGGACTTACACCGAGGTATTGACGGTGATTTTTAAATCTCGTAGAATATAATGTGATACGATGAGATATAATGTAATAGAAACAAAGACAGAGAATGAGTTACCTATTCTTAATGCCAAAGCGAGCTCTTTTGTTCTGAACTCCTTAATTTAGAATTAATCAAATCTCTCTAAGTAGGATTCGAACCTATGACCAGTCAATTAACAAGAATAATAGAGTTAATGAAAATATTATTGTACCATACTATAAAATAAAAGTAAAACTCAAAATTAAAGAAAGTAAATTTTACATCAAAAAATATTAAGTAAACTCAAAAATATTAATTGAAATTCAGAATCGAATCAATTTCAAATGAAAATATAATATGTTGAAAGAACTAAGCTTTAAATTAATGAAAGAATCTTATTTAATTTTTAAAATATGAAACTATCCCTAAATTTCTACAAATTTGATTTGGGAGCAAGTTTTAAAAGAATTTAGATTTTTAAAATTTTGAATAGACCCCAAAAATTTCCAAATTTGTAGTGGAGACAATTGCCCCACCGTCCCCACCTTGTCTCCGCCCATGCTTGTGTAATCTAAAAATAATATCCAATTGCAATTTAAATGAACCTTATTTCACATTGAAAATTTGAACTCCATAATTGAAACGAAATCTTTTTCTGTGTTAACAATAGAGTCCAAAACTTCATTCATGGATAATACTTGGATTGAAGAGTTTAGATTGAATTCATATCGATTTGAACTCAAGTTACAACTTTTAATAACTTGGGTTGAGGTTATGTTAGACTTTTTAGTCGGTTAGAATCGCACCACTAGACTTGTTTCATAATTTTTTTTAAGGGTTCTTTGTAAGTCGGTATACCTAATTAGACTTATTTGACAAAAAGTACATAGAACAAAATGTTTTAAAAAAAAGTACACAATTGAGTTACAAAGACATAAATGCTCATTTTAAGTTAATTTAATTCAAAATCTCTTATCTTTAATGCACCTTAATTCATGTGTGTTTGTTAATACATATAAATATGTATTTAATGCATCTTAATTCATGTGTATTTGTTAATACATGTAAATATGTTTATATATATATATATATAATGCACCTTGATTCATGTGTATTTTTTTTTAAAGTGATTTTATTTTTAAATTATATTTAATGCACATTGATTCAAGCATTTTTTTTTGGAAAATGATTTTATTTATAAATTAATTTAATATTCTAATAATGTAATAGTGTAACAGTGTAACAAATACATTGTAATAAAAACAGGGTTCAGTAGTTTTGTGTATGTGATAATAAATTTAAAACGGAGATGGACTATTTTAAATGAAATTATATGAAACTATATATTTGACAAAATGTAATAGTACAATATTTTGTGTAAATAACTTGTTACACTGTTATTGTTATACTATTACACTATTCGAATATTAAATTAATTTGAAAATAAAATCACTTTTCAAAAAAAAAAAAAAGGTATGAATCAAGGTGCATTAAAAGATAATTCAAAAATTAAATAAGAAATTTAACAACAAATATATACATATATACATACATACATAAGTATTTATATAAGTGTATATATATACATACGTATATATATACTTGTTTGAATTTAAAATTTTTGTATTCATGTACATAAGTGTGTGTGTCTGTGTATATATATATATATATATTAAAGTTCTCCCATAAAACTAGGAGATGTTTAATACACCACTTTTCAAAAAAAAGTGGTGCATTAAATACACATGGATTAATGAAGAGCAAAAATGTCACAAAAAAATTAGTAAAATTCAAATAATGTACTTAGATACAAATAAGTATCAAAATTAAGGACTTAATTACCCAGCATTTTTTTCTATGTACTTTTTCACAATTAAGTCTAATTGGGTATACCTTCTTCCAATTTTCCCTTTTTTTAATTAGGGTATCAAATAAATTCAAGTTCATATGTTGATTAATGTTGGGCAACCCATTATAGGTTAGTGGCTCCAACCAATATCAATAATAAAAAAAATATAGTTCCATAATTGGACTTCGTTTTAAATCCGTCTTTACCAATAAAATAGAAACATGATTCTCTGCAGGGCGGGGAGAGGGTGGGGCAATTGTCTCACTGTAATTTCATAAAAATTTGGGATTATTTTTAAATTTGGAGGAATTTAATTTTTTTAAAAACTTGCCCCCATTAAAATATTTCGAAAGATTTCAGTAGGATTCATTCATAAATGAAAAACTTATTTAAACTTTGTTCATGCAACTCAATCTCACAATTCTATCTCTAATCTCTAGATTTCTTTCTTTCATATATAACGACATGTCAATATACCAATTTCATGCTCATCCGAATCCAGTTAGTCAAATATGTTGTTTTTTTAAATATTTTTATCGATTATTCTAGTCCGAACTTGTTCTATTATATTTTATGGACTCAAAATTGGATATAGATAGGACCGTCTTGACTCGACCTGCAAAATTTTTTTCAGGTCAGGCTTGAGATAGTGTGAGCCCAAGCCCGTACTCGAGCGAGTGGTGGGTTGGGCCGAGCTGTGCTCGGGTAGGGGTAAGCTACCCGTAGCCTAGATTGTCACCTATTGGACTGGCTTTCTGGGTGGGCTTTTGTTGGGCTTGTTGGTCGGGCGGGCTTGTTGGCCCCTATTGAAAAAATATACAACTTATTTATTTTTTTATATATTATATTTTTGAATTAAAAGTATAGTCAAAATCAAAATGGACAAAAATTAAATAGTGAATAATTTTATTTATGAATAAAAAAAAAATTGCATCACTGTAGAATGAGTACATCCCAACTAGGTTGTCACCTACCCACATATCTATCATTTGTACAATTCTACCCATTAAAGGCTTTTGTACATGAAAAACTTGAATATTTAATACATTAAAAAAAATACATCATATGGGCGGGTATGGGCTTCGGCGCAGGCTTCGAGCTTCGGATATGTGGACGGGTTATTGGGCTGGGCTTCGATTTCGGGTCGGGTATGGGTTTAGGAGTAAACCCAAGCCCTTTCATAAAGATATTGGGCTTGGGTTGGGGCGGCCCAACTATCGCCCCTATCGGGGTTTCGGGCCTATTTTTTTGGGGTGGGGTAACGAGAACTGTGGATAACCCAGCCCGTGGACACCTCTAGATATAGATCGAATTTGAAACGAAAATTTTAAATTGGATTCAAATTTAGATCACTCAAAATTTAAATCGGTTCACAAGTCACAATAAATTTTAACAGTTATTGCTCTATAGGTTTTTTTTTTGTTTAATGGTCAAGGATGTTCGGGTCTATTTATATACACTTTGATTAATCCTCTCTCATCTCTAATCAAAGGTAGGTCATCCACGTCGAAATTAAGGTATTTATGAGGAATAAATCTCCCATAAACCTAATTCTAAAAAAAATTTAAAATTCAAATTCAAAATATCTAAATTTACAATTTACCTCGTTACCATTTGATCTAGAAGTTTCGTTACCCTAATAATCGCATCCACTAAGGAGAAACTTGTCTCCTCCCATGATTCTTCTATAGCTTAATATCTATTGCCCAAATGGAAAAGTTAGTACGGAAGGCACATGCCTTTAATGGGACCATCGGACATTGCGTCCAAGCTCTTCCATGTGCATTGTGGTCCAAACTTTGTACTTGAAAAGCATATTATTCACTCTCTTTTTTTTGTAGCTTTGGGACCCCAAATCCAAAGACATATTTTGTGCTCGATGTTGTTTAGGCCCTTTATCACCATTATTAGTAATAATCTTATATCTGAAAACATTATACAATATTAAAAATTTTACTAATTTTAGAATATTTATATTTTAAATAATAATTTAATTTTTTTAATTACGAAATTGAAAATTAAAATGAAGGGAGAGATTAGTATGGATTGATGAGATTACTTGAACAATTTTTATTGAGTTATCTAACATTAGAGACTATACAGAAAAGTTTATAGAATGAAGAGAGTTCTGGGTTGACTCAGACGAACAGTCAGGACTTGTTGATGTCGGAGGTGCACTTGGGGCGACAGATTTGTAACGTTTTGGCTTGTGAAGGCGGTGAACGAGTNTATTGGAGACTATACAGAAAAGTTTATAGAATGAAGAGAGTTCTGGGTTGACTCAGACGAACAGTCAGGACTTGTTGATGTCGGAGGTGCACTTGGGGCGACAGATTTGTAACGTTTTGGCTTGTGAAGGCGGTGATAGAATGAACTCGGCTGGGTTTAACGCGGCTCATCTGGGGTCTAACGCATTTAGGCAGGCGAGTATGTTGTTGGCTTTGTTTGCCGGAGGAGATGGGTACAGAGTGGAGGAGAACAACGGGTGTCTCATGCTGGGTTGGCACACTCGGCCTCTTATCACCACCTCCGCTTGGCAACTCAGCGGCGGCGAGTCTTGATGAGTCAACTCATTTTGGAGTGCTTTGTTTGTTGAGTTGTCAAGTGAGAGACACCGAGAGAGACAGACCCAAAGGAGTCAAATCCTGTCTTTTACTCTCTCTCTATCTCTGAGCTTTTTTACTGTACTTTTTAAAAATATTGAATGGTTGCATCTTGGAAGACTTCTTTTTATTTTACTTTCTAATTTAAATTTTGTTTTTGGTCACTTGGGTTCATGTACTTTTTTTTTTTTTACTTTCTGTCGTTGGCCTTTTTTTATCCAGTCAATTGTGGTCAATGATCCAGTACTAATGTGTATCTTACATGACTTTGAATAAGAGGTGAGAGTGATGTTTTAGTTGGTGTAATGTTGCCTCAAGTTTGATTTGATTAGCATAAAATTTCAGAAAGTGTTGTTGGGATCAATCTTTCCAAGATGAAGCTAAAACAGTAATACTTTGATTATCCTTCTTCTTATTAACATACCAGAATAATGTGTTTGACACTAGTTTTTTTAGCATTTTGTGAAATACTTGACTTTAACACAACTTTCTTTTTATATATGCAACAATGAATCTTTATACTAGTTTGTCACCCTTGATATTTGGGATTAATTCTTACCGATGGCTTTCATTTAGAGGATTGTATTCTATTTTTGTTTTTTTTTTTTATTTCTTTTTATGGTTCTATTTTGTTATTTGTTTTCGGCTAGTAATTCATTCAGATATTATCATGAAAATTAACCTTTAAAAATAAGGAAAAAAATAAAAAAAAACAATTGTATCTTTTATTATGGATTGTATATCTAAAAGTTGGGCAAAAAATCTTCACCAAGTGAAGACATATAGTCACATCCAAATACCTATTCAATTGTTATAGATGATACTATGGTAATAGACACACAACCTAGCGGGTTATTCGATGTGCTGTGACGTTTGTTTTTTTAATTATTGTGTTATGATTGCAATTTAAAAGTTTCGAGGCNGTAATAGACACACAACCTAGCGGGTTATTCGATGTGCTGTGACGTTTGTTTTTTTAATTATTGTGTTATGATTGCAATTTAAAAATTTCGAGTCATCTTTTGACAAATCGTTTCAAAAATCCTCTAATTTATTTAATACAATTCTTAACCTCATCCGTCACTCCATCAACACTTAAATTATTTAGTATGAATCAATAGTTGAATTATCTTTTGAGTCTCAGTTTATAATGCAATTATGATCAACTATAAACAGGTTGTAAATCAATATCAAAAAAAAAAAAAAACAAGTTGTAAATAACTTTAGTCAAATTCAATACAATACCATAAGANATCAAAAAAAAAAAAAAACAGGTTGTAAATAACTTTAGTCAAATTCAATACAATACAATCTATTGTTAGTCTTGTATAATTGAATGATCGTAATTGTTATAACACGAAATCAAGATTTCTAGAAGGAAGGCTAAGAGGAATCTGTGAAAGATTAAGGTTCTATTTCTGTTGTTATCTATGAATCAATACATTTGACTAATTATTCAATAATTTTTTAGCTATCCCAGAAAATTTTGAAATTTAGAGTCAATAATTACAAATTAAATTAGTAAAATACTTGTTATTGATTTTTTTATTTTTGCTATACACGTTTTGTATAGAAAATAATGGTGATCTTAAAAATGCGTTTCAAAGACATTTTTTATATTGATAGGTGTGGATTTAAATCACTTTTTTTTTAATAGAAAATAATGGCGATATGAAAAATAAACTTAAAAATGATATAATGAGGAAAAGAAATTAGAAATTTATGATATAATTACGGCTGATTTTACCTAAGTTCGTCACAGTGGTTGGCACAATGTTCTTTTCGAATAATAGTTGCTGACTAATACTATGTTAACCACCTCATACCTAGTACATAGGGTAGCATCAAACTTTGAACCCAACAGTGTTATGTACCACGCCTCATCCTATGTTACAAATGCTTGATGATAATATTCTACTGCAATAAGTCCATAAAGTTAACTTGGGGGATCGTTGGATTTGGTTAACACTTGATCAAATTAATGATAAAGAGTCGTGAGTACTCGATAGACAAAGTTTTCGTTTTATGGAGTTTATAAAAGATTAAATGTACCTAATTTTATCTTTATAAATAGATAAATTATTTCATTTTATGCTTTGAAATCTGAATAATATTTAAATTCTCAATTAATAATTTAAAAAAAATATATTTTTTAGATTGTACACTTAATTAGACAAAAGGGTAATAATGTGTCCCCAATTACAAATTTGCTATTTTATCTAACATTTTTGTGTTATAAGTTCTATATTTTTTCATTTTTCATGCTCAATTATTAATATATTAATCTTTTTAAGCATTTTACACTAAAATTGCACACTAGATTTTATTAAAATAGGCCACATTATTACCTTTTTATATAATTGAGGGTGAAAATTTGAAAATTTTAAACTTTCAAGATTTAAATTAAATTTTAAAAATCTTGTAGGGGATATAAAGTATCATTTTACCAATAAAACATTCTCCAATTTCATTGAAAACCATCAAATAGCTAATATCAACCTTCCTTTTCCATTATTTACCATTTATAAAAAATTAAAGAGTTAATACCATTTTTAGTTCTTAAAGTATGTATTTTTTTATCGGTTTAGTTCAGATTGTATTAATTTTATTTATTTGATCTGTAAAATATTCAATTCGTATAGTTTTAGTCCTTACATAAACGGACCATTAAGTTTTTGACAGAATAATTCACGTATTAGATACTTGATACCTTTTAAACGTGGTCATTTCGTCAAAAAATTGCCGGATTATTTAATTAGAGACTGAAATGACATGAATTGAATATTTTAACGACCAAATTGATACAATGAGAATTAAACTGATAAAAATGTATATTTAAGGACAAAAAATACTATTAACTCAAGATAAAATTAGGAGTAAATTGCACATATCGCTATCAAACTATAACCTTTGTGTCAATTATGCCCTTGATTTTTTGTTTTTTTGCCTATTAAGTTCATGAACTCTTTAATTGTATTAATTGAGTCATTTCTAACTGCCTCCTTTAAATTTTTCTAAAAGAAAGTGGTGAACACTCGATGGTTGAAATAAACTACACATATGACTCTTAAACTATGATCGTTGTGTCAATTAAACCTCTAACTTTTTTTTTGTATCAGTTGAGCCCCTGCATTCTCTAGTTGTGTCAATTGAACCCTCGTATCTGTCTCTGTTAAATTGTGTCACTCACGAGATTATATGATAGCACAGTCTAACAAAAACAAATAGAAGTGCTCAATTAACACAATTAGAGATATAGATTTAATTGATACAAAAAATAATTCAAAAGCTTAATTAATCATAATATCATAATTTAAAAGTCGTGTTAAAAAAAACACTCTCCCCATGCAAATTGGGTATTTTTGCTTTTACTTACTCACGTGTTGTAGTCCGGAAAGGGTGTGCGAATACTGAATTTCACAAGTATAAAAAGCAGTGTGAATAGGCATTTACATAGTAATACTACTTCGATTCGATTCACCTAATTTGTTAAACTTTTAGATTGATGACTGATTTTCAGTGATTATGATCCCTTAAATCAATCAGAAACAGCGGGAGAGTTTCTAGAATGAAGTCGGTAAGAATGAAGACAGTTTCAACAAAGAAAAGGCTGCAACGTAGCAGAAAGCCATGATGGATGGGGTGGTGAGTGGGGTATTAGTGGGGTGGAATGTGGATGGTAGGGTCTGAAGAGAGAGAAGATATTAGTGTGAACGGCAAGAAAATTAAGGTTCATATAATGTAAAAACTTACTTTCAAACCCAAAACTTGGGTAATAATCAAAACCCAGTTGTTACGAGAAGGTAATTTTTTCAAGAGGAACTTAAGTAGGTTTTGACAAATTACCAAGTGATTGATAGTCTTTACTGTATCAACCAAAACCAGATAAAGTTATAAAAAAAAATAAAAAAAAGTGAAAGGAAAAGTTGGGAGAAAATTGTTTGTTTCCTCCATTATGAGAAAAGAGGCAATTCTCCCTAAATTAACCTCATTTTAATTTTTTTCTCTCCATTTCAATAGTTATGGATATTTATGTCAGTTTACGTACATTTTGACTTATTCTCTCTTCAATTCAGTCAAAAACAAACTAGCTATACTGCAATTAGGAGTATTTATAAGAGATAATTTCCTCATATCCTAACCCTAAAAGATAGTCAACATTTAAACTCAAATTATCTGGATTTACAGTTCTGATATCATTTGAACTATCCTTGTAATTGTCAAATTTTAACTTCAACGCTCGAATGTGGTTATTAGAATGAGGCATTTGTGAAATATTAAGTCATCACATATAAAACTTTATCGTTGAGATTAAATCAGTCAGGGACTATTCTTTTTCTTTTTATTACAACTATAAGAATGAGATATTCAACTCTCGATTGTTTGTCATTGCATATAACACTTTGTACCAGAGATAAAACCGGGATTAAGTCAGGAATTACCATGTTTCGTGGCTGCAAAAGTTTTATACCATGAATGGCACTTGCCTACAATGGGACCATTGGGCACTGTACCCAATTTCTTTCTACGTGCCTCATGGTCCCCAATTACACATTTGCCTATTTTAAAACTTAACACTCGATAAAACATTGTTTCCTTTTGTTACCTCAAGACTATCTAGGGACAAGTCTTTTGTGCTCACTTTTGTTCCGGAAGCTTTGGTACCTGGCAAAAGTTTTCTTTTTGCTCTCACACTAGAGAGTGACGACGCTTAAACTTACAACTTTAAAATTTAATAACAAGAGCGATAGTTATTGAGACTATCTAGTAAGTTCAGTCCTGACAAAAGTTGAATAATGGGTTGTGGCCTATATATCCCTCGATGAGTGCAGTTGTTTCTTTTCCCAAACAAACTCCCACATGTTGTTTACCAGTGATTTTGGACATTGGGGTCCAAAATTCTTCCCATGACTATAAGGGTTTGTGTACCCACAAAAGAATTAAGGGTAAACTATATC